CACTTTATTCGGATTAAGAGAATTCATATTTTTCTATGTGGCATACCAACCATTTATAGAAACATATTCTTCTCAACAATACTAGAACATTATGTTGATTCTATATATGTCCACGCGATTGCAAGTGAATTGAATCAGTGCACTGGAGTTCATCAGTGAATGTATCACTCGTGCGAATTTCACGGGCCTTTTAATTAACTGTCAACCATGCTAGTTGTAAACCGAAATGATAATATCACCTCATAATCTTTGTCTTCTGAATACTTTTTTTTAGAATAAACTGAAATTTATTATTGATGAAAACAGACGACGACCTATCTCCTCTATTTCGAAACATTTTACAGAGGAGACAGGACATAGAAATGATGTCTCCACACGTCTTTTAAAAATTATCTTTGGGGGAGGGCGTATCCTAGAGTTTGTGGAAGCCCTATCTGGCAATTAGGAAGTTTAAACCACCTTTACGCGTCCATCAAAAACAATTCGTCATCATCACACGAAACCTTCCTTGGTAAAATTTGTATTGACACCAGCCAGGGTAGATGTACTATTACCTCCCTTCTTTGATTCAGTGATCTCCACTGTTATTTTGACCTTCAATAGGTGGCCTTTTAACTTGACCTACGCAGACTGTTTTCCCACCTCTTAATTCTTTATTCATTTCATACATGTGTATTCCTATGACAAGTCCATGTGTGGTGGATCAGATTGTTCGAAATGTGTTACGCAAATATAACATTACACGATTTGGATAAATTAGGTCTTCTTATTGCTTTGTCAAAATTTATTACAACACAAATTATTATTATGGAAATGTAATTCTTAACCTCATTCGTTTGAGTACGACTCAATAACAAATACTTATTAAACCATAAAAAAATTCGATTTCACACAAACATAAAGTATAAATTTTGAATTGACGATTTTAAGAGCAATCCCCATATATTAATCAATGAATAAGGGAGTGAAAATTATTACTAATAAAAGTCGAATACATTCTAATATTTAAAAAATGATTATCAATAATAAATTCGACGCTCAATTGTATTCATAACCTGAATTCTTAAAATGAGTTTACCAAACAAACACGCACTTTCAAAGAAATAAATGAAAATTGATAAAAAAAATATTGGGGAGGCAAGAAGAACATTGGCTAGTGGTCGCACTGTGTCATGTATTGACAGAAGGTGGAATTCATGGGCTGGCCATTGGATCGGGCCCCAGTGTCTAATGAATAGTCTACTAGGTCGTTAGCCTTGTAACCAGAAGGTTCTAGGTTCGAACCCTGGCAGTGAGTTGGGTTCGTACTGATGAAGAGTCCAAACTGGGACGAAACAGCTATCCAGTACTCCAGTGTTGATTTTCCAATGGTACTCTAACTGATGTCAGCTCATGGTGAAATCCTTCATCCAATCAAATATTGATTTGTTAATTTCATTTTTTAAATTAAAAAACAACAACTTCGCACTATTGGTAACTGAGAACGTGTCAATTTCTGTTCTTCTCTCAGTAACAAAGAGAACATAGTATAAAACAAAGACAACTGGTCATTTCGCCCTTTTGTATCTCCAACTTTTGCTTTTGGTGTGTGCGTGTGTGTATGTGGAGAGAAAAACACTGTACACTCCAGTAAACTGTAATTCAAAAGCACAACTACTAGTGAAGTAAATAAACAAATTTTCGAGTGTTGGTTTCCAGGATTGATTGCGAGTTGACATCAGTTAGAGAACCATTGGAAAACCTGCAGGGAGTACTGGACAACCGGTTCATCCTTGGACCATTAGGTCAGGTCTCAGTGGCTTAATAGCCCTATGTTTGAACCGCGGTGGGTGTGTACTGCTGAAGAGTCGCAAACTAGGTCAAGAACAGCTATCCAATTCTTTTATAGTTTCCAGTGATTCTCTCGCTAATGTTGGTTCAATATGAGAGATCTATCCAAATCCCAACAAAACCCGAAACGTTAGAACTTGACAAAATTCACAATATTGTCTAAAATGTCTATATCTGCTATATAATATCGGCGCGTTACGCTCACTGATAACTTCTTACAAAAAAAAAAACTGAACGGATAAAAGAGTGAGGTATATACGCATTCGTATTTTAGGCATGTTTCTACAGTAAAACACACATATCAAAGTACCCGAAAGGTATAAGTGACAGAGACGGCTTTAAAAATCTATACTTGAAAAAACCACACCTAATTTGTGAAGAGAGAGAGAGGGGGGAGAGGGAGAAAATACAAAAACACGTACTGTTTTTTTTCTTTCTAATCTTTGCGTGCTGATATCGAAAAAAATGTATATGAAAAATAAAAATTTAACCGATTGTACATTGCATTATGTGTGATCGATGTGTGTGTGTGTGTTTTTATTATACATTCATTGGGTTCAAACAATCGGATGATCGTCAAACACACTCAAGTCGTCGATTTATAGTTTGTATCTGCTATGATATACAACCATCAGTCAGTATATGTCAGTCAGTTGGTAAGACATTGTGGTTCGAGGCCTGGATCCATCTTAATCGATTAATGTCTGATAGAATTGCAGTACACATATAATAAAAGATTCTTTTAAAAATCTTTAAAACTGTAACATCATTAGCTTCGATATGCTATACAACTTTCTATCAAACAGGAGTTCATCCTTATTGATATACGTATAAAACTTGGACATTGTGGTAGCAGATATCTTTATGGAGATCTGGGAAAATATTGCTCTAAATACATTTAATCCTACTCCAAAAATACGGTTGAGATATGTGGATAACACTTTTACTCACAGTGTTAACAGCAGAACATATCTCTGTCTAGCTTCTTGACACATATCAACTCACTAGTGAAGGGAATAAAATTCACATTTGAATCGGAAAATGAACAAGGAGAAGGTAAACTGCACACACACTGCGTTCATAAAAAGCCAACACATTCTGCTAATAGATATTTTGACTTTAATTCATGACCTTATCTGTTATCTGTCTATGAAGGCAGGTTTAGTTAAAGTGCTGTCTAACAAACCAAGCAACAGCACTAAGCAGTACAACGAAAAACATACACGATGAAATGAAACAGATAGAAGAGGAAGCGCTGGTGTTACATAACTAAATATCTTATAAAATTCATTAGGAATATCAAAAAAGGTCAAAAGCTAAATAAAAATAATGGTGAAACTTATAATGTTAACATAAATAATAAGAGAATATAAGGCATCTACTGTTATACCATATAGGAAGGGGATATCTGAGGCCCTACGTGGTAGGATTCTTAATAAAGTAGGAATTGGCGTGGCACTTAAACCTACAGACTCACTCAGGTAGGATAAGCTCTTCAGCTTCAAAGACCCTGTAGGTTGACCTAATTACACGAAATTATATAATTTTAAAAATACCTTGCAGTGACTGTGAGTGACGTCAACTACATAGGTCAAACCAGTAGACTGGGCGCGGGTAGTCAGATTGACAGAACATAGGTGAAGATAGAGAAAAATTGATTACTGAATCATGCCTGGTTCGTCGAGTCTACACCCAACACATGCAACAGAAACGACTCAATGCAAATACCAGAGATATGTGTGGAAGATATTACCACCAGTCAGTCAAATCAGAGGAGGATAATAAATAATCTTAAAATTCTATTTCAATTCACGTACATTATAAGATTCTAGCAAGTTTCTTATTTTGACTATAAAAACATCTTATTTCCGATCTTATTGTATTTTATTGATAACACTAATATTATTATTTCTGAATGTGCTTTATCTTACATTGATTTTATTTAAATGTCTAATCAGTTTATACCCGTGTATATACATGAAGAAAGATTGTGTGAGTGAGTGACTTGATGTGATTATGAGCGGTAGTGATTTGTGCTGGAAACGTGGTCATCAGTATATATTCCTGTATAACACGGTGTGATTTATCAAAATAAAATCTTATCTAAAACGAGTTCATCGTGTCCAACTTTACACTTCATGATATATGGCGGATAAAAGTAGCGAATATGATGAGGGGTTATAAATTTTGACCATAAATATCCTCATTCTGTTGTTTGCAACACAATGAGGTTAGATGTAGTCCTCTTAGAGAAGAAGGGGAAAATCGATAGATACAGCTTCACAACTGTACCCATTCAAGGTATGATTACGTACTATGCATATCAAATCATCGCTTTCCAAGGATATTAATCTTAAATGAAATACAGCTAGAACAACAGTTTTTGCAGAATAAAATGGTACCATCATTGTTTATTTCGTTGGCTTCTCATCAGCTACTTACAAGCCAAAGTGATTTTAAACAAAAATCAATCAATATATGCATATATATATATATATTTTTATCCTTCACGTTCCCCAGTGGAACATAGGGCTTCAAGCTAGAGGCTTGAAGTTTCTGTAGCAGTGTTTATTTTACAGGATGGGGTTGCTAGCCTCATGCCCAACCTTTCCTCTTTACCAGCTTTATTTCTGGCTTAGCGAGGTAAAGGAGTGCGTCGGCGGCCGGGGATCGAACTCCGGACCATGTGCATGGTCGGCGAGAGTCCTAACGGCTATGCCACCGACGCACAATATATACATGTACTAAACACTAAACCGAACAATAATGACCATGCACAATGGAAACTTTCGGCATGACTTAATCAGATGAAAGAGAGATGAAAATATCCAGTCACCAGGGTAAAGAAAGACTGACAACTGCTTCTTTCTGAACGCATAAATCAGGTTTCAGGCGCTTAATGGAAATCGCTCCAACAAACTTGAAGAGAATTGAACTCTTTTGCCTATTGATAATTTTGAACGATCTTGCGACGTCCACCTCGTGACCAGTGTCAAGGAGATGCCTGGCGATGTCTAAAGGGAACAAATGCTTTCTTTAAACAGTGCCATCGCCAGGCACTCTCTTTGTTTCAAGTTATCTTATACATTATTAATAATGACAAACAGGTCGTCAAGCACAAATAATAATCACAATATTATAAATAGAAGAAATACACTATTATCACTTACTAAACGATCATATAATGAAAGTCGTTCATCATTCATTGTAAGGCTAAAAATGAAAGGGAAAAAAACAACAGAAAGTGAAAATTCCCTTTTTCAAAAAAATCAAAATAAAATTTACATTAATAATAATAATGAAAATCATAAAGCGCTTTATTTCAGACAATATGTGAACACATAGTACAAAAATGCCCAGAGTATATTTCCTCTCCATACACGATTAACATTGTAGAGTAATAATCGGAAGTATGTCATCTGACTTAGCATTGTTGCATATATAAAGAGAGAGAACCAATTCTGTACAATTTTTCCTCATTTCCTTCAAGAATTGCACAGCATTTAGTGAGAAGTCAATTGAATATCAGCGCAAGTTCATGTAGTCGTCATTTGATATCATTGCACGATTAAAAAAATAAGAAATCCAGAAGTTCATGGGTCCGAATCCTGGCGGTGGGTACGTACTGTTGAAGAGTCCCAAACTAAGCTGACGAAACAGCTGTCCTGTACTCCAGTGCTGCTTTTCCAATGATTCTCTAAATGGTGTCAGCTCATGATGAAATCCTCCAACCAATCAAATGCATAAGAGTTTAAGCATTTTGGTGAATGGAAATTATGGTAGGTCAGTGATTTAAGCAGGCCACCGTGCCGTGTACAATCCCCTCTGAATTTAAATAATCATTGACTGTATTATTAATCTAGTCACAACAATGACTGAAGGTAAAAGAGGTCCTAGAACGAGTAGGCCAACCTCCAGATTAGAAGTCTAGCAGTCTACCAACTGAATTACCAGATTCAATTGCTTAACTACCACTACCATCATCAACACCAAAAACAATAACCGTCTACCACTTCAAAACTGTCTCAGAAAATTTCACCATGATTTAACGATCTCCGCTTGTCTTTATCTAATTCAGTAGGATTAGGATTTTCAAGAGTATTGTAAGGTTTGCAGGGATTTGATTGGTTACAAGTTAGATTAGAAGAGCTGAAATCAATTGGAAAACCCGGAAGTACTGGACAGCACTGCTTTGTCCTAGTTATTCTGGAATTGTTCTCAGTGCTATGCAAACCCTAATCTTAGCGACAATCGAATCCAGGTTACGAGGGCAGCCCGTTAGACATTCACAGTCACTGGGGGCGGGGCGGGGGGAGCTGGAATTCAATAACCCATGAATTCAAACTACCGCCAATTAGCAGTACATACTGTTACCGCCAACGAATGTCGTGAGTAAGCTTCTTTTTTTCGACGATAATAATTATAATAATAGCTTTATTCGGAAAAATGCTTGTATACACAATACAGAATTTGCAGAATCTTCAGGTAATTAAAATAAACGATTATATATCATCAACTGAAGCGATACTGTTTTCTCCGCGACATGTTCCAACCACAATCTACAACGTCCCTCTCCATTCCTGTTAGAAAACTCATAGCAGTAGATTGGCACCTACTTGAAAGTATGTCAGAGTATACTTTATTGATTTTTCGACATAATTGTATGATTGAAACAATATGAAATAGAGTAAACACTATGAACCTACATGGATAGAAAATTCTGGTAGCCTAATGCTTTAAGCAGGCCATCGAACTGCAGTGTGACACGACAATACCTACACCTATCCAAGCAGCTAGTGTAATGATGATTAAACCAGGGATAAGTATCGTCCATTGACATGACATCTGAACTAGTGAAAACTATCACTCACACCTTATAAGCTGTTTTCTTTATTCCTTCAAGTTCCTTCACGTGGAACATAGGGCTTCAAGCTAAAGGCTATCAAGCCTCATGCCCAACTTTCCCTGTTTACCAGTCTTATAATTGGCTTAGATAGGTGAAGGAGTAAGTCAGCGGCCGAGGATCAAACCCCGGACCATGTGCATGGTCGGCGAGCTGTGGCACCGACACACACCTTATAAGTTATTAAGACGTAATTAGTGAATTAATTGAACCATATTTTCACGAAACAATAATAAGGCTTAAAAATTGGTTTTATTTTTTCCAAGAATTGTTAAATTTTATCACATCAGTTATGATAAACATTTGAATACTCTGTATAATGATTCTCAGGTTGATGAATAAACCAGAGAAGGAAGGGAGATCATCTTTTTAAAGCATTATAGACAACAACAACAACAAAAATAATAACAAATTATGCAGGCATATGAACCAGTCAATGAAAAGTAATCATTGTGGTTGTCTAGCCTTAAGTATTGATTGAAATTTATCAATCAGTTGTAAAAAATATTATCACTATAATGCACTGTAATTTAAATAAAATGAATTGAGATGATAATAGTTGTACATGTGTGTTTGTGTGTACTGCCATGGTGTGTGCTATTGGCCGCAATTACCAGATACTATGCAATATGAAGGTGCGTCAGTGGCACAGCGGTAGGATTCTCGCCGACTATGCAAGTGGTTCAATCCCTGGCCGACGCACTCCATTACCTTGCTGAACCAGTAATAAGACTGGTAATGAGGGAAGGTTGGGCATGAGGCTAGCAACCCCATCCCGTAAAAATAAATACCACTGCTACCGAAACTTTAAAGCTCTAGCTTCAAGCCCTATGTTCCACTGGGAATGTAAAGGATTAAAAAAAAGATACAATATAAACAGTAAATATTCTGCAGAAGAAGCAGCGAAGATAAGACTTCAGATGAACATGGAGAAAAAAGAGGCAATGATGATGACTAACCAACAGCAACAAAAACAAGCACCAGTCATTATCAATGGGAGTAATCGAGAGGTAGTCACCACTTTCACTTATTATCTGGGTAGCATCGTTTCAACTATATAAGCAGATAGTACAGATGACGATGTCAGAGGCAGGATAGAGAAAGCAAGGACAGACCTTCATCACAATCTACTGCACTAAGCATAGGGAATAGACAAAAAGGTCCCGATTCCATATTAGTTTGTTTATTAGATATATCACACAGTGAAACAGTATTATTTACTGGATGACGTTTCGAACAAAATTTATTGTTCATAATCATATCAATTATAATCACACGACTTTGAAACTTGAGTTTTATAGTTTTCTTTGTTCTCTCCTATTTGCTGTCGTAGGGGTAGTAGAATTTTCCAGATATCTGGGTGGACAGGTGTTGAATCATTCCTATTACATATATTTGCAGTTGATTCGATAAACAAAGCTTCCGTTATCAATCTCTCCCTATACCCTATAATGTCACCCTATCCCATCCTATTTCATAGTTGTGTGTAACTGCATGTAGTGCTATAGCTGAACTATTCTCTAGATTTTTTATCTTATTCGGGTCAACCAATCTAGATTTTGCTAGGCTTTTATCTTCAGCTAGTCTGACTGCCCCTGTTCTACTAGTTTGACCTATGTATTTGACCTGACAATCATTGCAGGGTATTAGATAAACTAAATTGTTTTGTTTTAAAGGCTCTACAGGATCCTTTAACCGACAAAGCTTGTTTCTAATTGAGTTTGTGGGTTTGAATGCCATTTTCATTCCTGCGTAAGGCTTCCGAGGTTCCTTCCTTGTATGGAATTACTACTGATGATTTAGATCCCTTATTATTGGTGTCGTCGTTAATACTATTATTATTATTATTATCACTATCGCTACTATCATTATTTATTTTATTTTTACATTTCCTTACATATTTCTTGACTAATTTATCAGGGTAATTATTAAGTTTCAAGGATTCTCTCATATGTATCACTTCCTATATTAGATTTTCCTTGGTACTACTTAGTTTTTGTGCTCTATCACTTAAACATTTCACCAATCCTATTTTTACTGACATAGGATGGGATGATCGGAAGTCTAAATATCTGTTTGAGTGTGTGGGTTTCCTGTAAACACTAGTGTTTAACTTCCCATCTTCTTTCCTTTTTACGTTGCAATCTAACATTGGGAGCTCCCCTTCCTGATTTTCCAATTCATAAGTGAATTGAATTGCTTCAACCTTCGAGTTGATGTGTTCGAAAAACCTATCTGTATCTTGTGTTCTCAGTACAGTGAATGTGTCATCTACATACCTCCCCCATACTTTGGGGTGGAGGTGAACGTTTCAATCGCTATGCTTTCCCACTTATCCATGAATATATCTGCTACAACTGGGGATATTGGTGGTCCCATGGCAACTCCTTCAGTTTGTTTGTATATTTTCCCTTGGAATTTAAATACTGTGGAAGTTAGGCATAGCTGTACTCCGATCATTATGTCCTCAAGTGGCACTTTTGTCCTAAGTTCGAGTTCTTGGTCAAAAATGAGTTCGTTTCTGACTGCCTCCATAGCCATATTTATTAGTATACGTGTGTATAAACTGACAATGTCAAAACTAACCATTTTTTCTTCATTATCTAATTTTAAATTATCTAATCTGTGTTTTAGTCCCGATGTTTAACACTAGTGTCAAATAAGGGTTTTTATATGGTTCAGAGACTTGACGCGTCACAAACCAACATACCCATAGGGCTACCTTTACTTAATAATTGAGATCAGGTGATCCAGAAGAAGAAACGACTCACAACAACAAGGAACCCTGGCAGTAGTAGTAGAGGTGTAAGAGGCTAGAGGCTTGAAGTTTCTGTAGCAGTGGTGTTTATTTTTACAGGATGGGGTTGCTAGCCTAACGACCCAACCTTTCCTCTTTGCCAGCTTTATTTCTGGCCTAGCGAGGTAAAGGAGTGAGTCGGCCGGAGATCGAACCCCGGACCTGACAATTGCGTCAAAAAGTGTTTAAAATCAAATCGCAACACCAACAAGGAACCATCATCAAAGAACACAAGAAAATTCATCCTACCATATATAAAAAATATCTCTGAAATAACAGCTAGAATACTGAAACCATTTGAAATAGATATAGCACACAAGCCAGTCAAATCACTTAATTCGATATTGTGCAAACCGAAAAATCCAACAGAAAAAGGAGATAAAATTAATACCATTTACAAAATAAATTGCATGTATGAACTGTAATAGACCAGAAAGTTTAAAATCCAAGTTAATAGAAAATGATCAATAGATATGTAAAGATGGTTACCGGGAGACGCAATTTTATAACTTA